GCGGTTTAGCAGGGGAAGAGACAGGTGGTTTTGGGTGGTTTGCTGTGCTTTTCAATTCAAAAAAATACAACAAAAAATCAAATAAGAAGAAATTAAAATGGCAATACAGGTAAAGCGTGAGAGAAGGGGTTGACGGATTCTATTATATCAGTAGAAAATAAAAGGGAAAGGTTTTGCCTTTGCCTTCTGTGAGTAGAGGTGAGAGGAAGACGAATTTGAAAGGGAGATCAAGATGCGATTTTGAGAGAGAAAAACATGGGACCAAAAACAAATGGTATTGGAAATGGGGAATAACAAACCAAATTGGTTCATTCTTTTAGAAATGTGGCCTTTGTTTTTCTCTAGTAACAAACAAGTTGTTCTTTTTCTGTTTTAGGGGTGTGGAGGTTTTACTGGATTGACTTTCATTAGCCCATGGATAATCCATTTGGCTTTTTAAAATGACTTAAATGTCCTCATTTTAATTATCTTTAATTTTAAGATCTTTCTGGAGTATGCACCTTATATAATGCATTAATTATACTTCCTCTATTCATTGTTATTTATACATAAACTATATACATTATACTTATTTAAAATTTTAATTATTTATTATTTATTCTTAATAATTTAAATTTGTTATAAATTTTTAGATAAAAATAATTATCATTAATAAAGATAATAAAAAGTGAATAGATTTGAATTATTGAAAATAAAAAAATGAATAATTGAAAATTTGCATAAGTATGATACATAAATCTTATATATAAATTTATGTGTAAATAAATAACTACTCACTTTTAACTTGAAATATTTAAAAGAATTAGTTGTCTATATTTCTTTTTTAAAATATTATTTAATACATTTACTTTTATTTTACCTTTATTTTAAAAAATAATTGTAACATGTAATATTAAATTAAAAAGGCTAAATAGTGATTAATTATGAATAAATATAAATTTTTTAAATTAATTATTACATATTTATTATATTACTTTATTTGTTCTAAAATAATTATCATTTTTTAATTTAATTTTGTCTCAAATTAATTATTTTTTATTTTTTTAAATTGACAAATATTCTTTTTCTTAATATAACTATATCATTATTAATTTATTTTAATTAATTACTATATCATAAAAAAATATCTCTTTGTTTTTTAATATATGTAAATATATAAACTATCTTCAAATTTTTAATTTAAAAAAATAAAAAAGTGATAATTATTTTAAGACAAAAGGATAGAAAAATTAGGCCTATCAAAGATAAAAGAAAGGAATATATTTTGTATTAATTTGTGAGAAAAAA